TATATATATATATCACATAGAATGTGTTTCTCATCGCAAGCCTACAAAAACTAAAATTTGTAAGAGATCGACTAATGTAACTTTTTTTTAACTGTTTTGCTCAAAAACAGACAGAAAAAAAAAGCAATCTTACCAAGCAATCCGGCTGAAAAATAACCTAAGCCTGCAAATGATATTCCCCAGGCAGTGGCGATACCAACGTACTCTGTATCCACCGATTTTATTGTTAGGAAGAGTAATAAGCTGGCCTGCATTCCGTATGCTGCTCCATGTGTAAATGACGTTATAGCCAGAGCAGTATACTGATTCGAGAATATGAAAAGTGTAAGTACTATGACATCGATGATTTGTGTAAACACCAACAGCTTGACAGATGTCCCGACTGTCTGTGGACAAATACACTGTACAAATCTAGCAATAATACATCCCATTCCTACAAGCGATTTCAGGAAGCTGGCATTAATAGGCTCAATACTGATGCTGATGGCGTATGGTATCAAACTCAAATAAAATACAACACCTGTAAAACAAACGCAAAAGGCAACAATAACCAACCCAATTAACTTAATATCTCTCAACACGTGAAGCTGAAGCCTTTCTCCAATCTTTTCCAGGAATGTCTTATCTTCTTCATTTATTCCAATTCCTGTGTAGGTGACGTCTTGTTTACGGCCAATGCTGGGATCAAGAGCCGTCGCTGTCACTAATCCATGCAAGTATATTGCTCCTGTCACAATTAAAGCCCCTCTCCAACCATAATTTTCTAACCAGACCTAAAAAAATAAAACAAAAAGATAATTGTGGTGTTGGATGCCGAGTGGATAAGGCAGCGGCGACGCAACGTACAACCATAATATCGGCGCTGATTCGAGGTTGCCTAATGGTTCTGGTGGTGGAACAGGTATTCTCGGATAAGAACTATAAACCATAGGTAGGCCCAGTGTACACATTTTGGCTCATGTGAACTATAAGGAACCCAGTACATCTTTTGAGACGAGTAGTGGTTTACCCCGGTTACTTCAGCTCCTGCTGTGAACAGACGAGAGTAGCTGGTACCAGTTTACCGGTTGGCTCGGAATTTGTCATTTCAACAACATGGCAAAAGTGAAATTTGTGTTGATTGATCCGATAGGCTATACATATATCACAAAACCTCGAATTGAAGCCCAATGGGCTTAATCTCGAAATGAAGCCCATCTCCAACTGAAGTCCACCACTTCAGTTTGCAAAATTTGCCTCGAAAAGAAGGCCATCTCGAGATAGCATAGACTTATTTTTGTGATAGTACAGTACCTACACTGTACATGAATTTCAAAGAAACAAAATAAAAAACATGCTTAATACACTCCATAATACATTTTGAAAAAAGCCCCTTCTTTACATTGAATAAGTGGCCTCGAAAAGAAGCCCATCTCGAAAAGAAGGCAAAAAAAAAAAAAAACAACAACAAAACAAGATGAAGCACAGGGCTTCAATTCGTGGTTTTACGATAATACGTTTAAATCAGTATGAATAAATAGATAATAGATAATAGATAAACATAAATAAATATAAGTTTTTTTATAGAATCATGGGTGCCTGTGTGTCTCAGGATCAAGAAGAGACCAATATGACCCAACAGCTGAAAATAAAAGGGGACAGTGCTGCCCTGAAGTCTCCCAATAAACCGATACATAACATTAAAACATAATTATCAATTGTGAATTACCTTCTAAAATGGCTATTAAATTCTGTACATTTATGGAATTATGAACAAAAGGTTGTCTACAGTGTTTAGTGTTTTGATTGAAAGTGGTTAGTCTACCATTGGTGTTTGCTTAAAACCAAATTTATAAATTCTCATTTAAAAAAGGCTTTCAGAGCAGCAACAGTAATAGTAGTAGTAGCAGCAACAGGAGCAGCAACAGCAGCAGCATTGCAGTAGCAGTATTAGTAGTAGTAGTAGTAGTAATAGTGGTGGTGATGATGATGATGGTAGTGGTGGTGGTGGTAGTAGCAGCAGCAGCAGCAGCAACAGCAGTAGTAGCAGTTGTAGTAGTAGCAGCAGTAGTAGTAGTAGTAGCAGCAGCAGTAGGCCTAGCAGTGTAGTAGTGGTAGTAGTAGTAGTAGTAATAATAGTGGTGGTGGTGACGGCGGTGGTGCAATCCCGTAGCCAGGGAAAATGGGGGTTCGTTGGGTTCGAACGAACCCCCATTTTCATGAAGTGCCCTTTCAACAAAGGCTAACTAGCCTAGAGCCTATCATCATTAAAAAAACGTTCTCGATCGTTAGCAACACAAACAAAAATAAATAAAAATTGTGCATTTTCAACTGTTACAACATTATTATTTAAATTAATCAGTACGACCGTGTAGGCCTACCCGCCCAAAATAGGGACAGGGCAGGGCAGAAGCAGCAGAGCGTATCGCCGATCGTCCCAAAACGATACAGCTTCCAAAGTGCTATAAGCCATACAAT